CAATATATGGTGAAAAGTATGTAGATACCCAACCAAATTATGGAGTTGAGGTGTTACCAGTGAAGGGTACTGTTAATTCTACAGCATTCATTCAACAGGAATGTGCATACTGCATGTGTAAATGGTGAAGCAAATGCATTACTTACAGGTTATATTTTGAGTAGAAAACCTCATCTCTACACACTAATAAGATATATTACTATCAATGTTTATACTGTGGATAGGGGGAAAGTATGCAGTCATTTTCAGGTTGTTTGGGAAAATCTTGGGACTCTGTGGCCATAGGAGTAAAAGGGGACCTTGGGGTATATTTCATATTATATGCTTTTTTAGACCCGTTTTTATGTATTCCTTGATGCAAGCAATAAAATAGTTTGTATTTATTATGGTGTGTGTTATATATAGTGGTCTCCATTAATTACACTATATAGACAAGGAATGGGGTGTTGAGTTCAAATGCAGGTTTAGTTTTACATATACAAACATTGTAGTTATATACCAGAGACTCCACCCTATATTAGGATACTTATATTGGTTAAAGGCTTAGGGGGTGTTTTACTAACCTAAACACATGCACGCACTAGGTGTGAGTGATTTTTACACAGCAAAACTTATTTATCAACCAAAAAGTCTCTAAAAGCATATTTACACTAATGCCATATATGGAAAAATCATGCACATGATGCATATATAATGCTGCTTCACAGTTTAGACAAAAATTGTTAGCTCATGCATTTACATTCCTGCATTCATCAACGCAAGCAACACAATGTAGAGCTAATTTACACAACATCACCTTGCAATTCATGCAGGGCTTTGCACAACACACCTGCTGGCTGTGTACACACTACAAAGGTGTCTAGATTCCACCAATAGATCATGCTGGGAGGGAACACACTACAGAGGTGTATACTTGTTCGTGGCGTGTTTATAAGGTTAGTAAATCAACCCTTAAGAGTCCAACTCTTTATTCTGTTGGTGGGATAGGCTATTATTGGGGCAAAGAAGGAACTGACTCCATATTAATACTCATGGTTTTAGAATAGAATGTCCAACAAGCTAATATAAGTGTGAGGATTAACGGGTCTATTCACTAAGCTGCCTAGGGCAGCCGAGTGAACAACCGACCCCAAGTGAAGTGAGCCGAACACTGTTCGGCTATTCACTTCAGGCTGGTACGGCTGATTTCAGCCGTACATCGGCTTGCTTCACATGGACTCGGGTCGGCCAAACATGCTCGGCATGTTCGGCCGACCCGAAGTGCAGAAGGAGTTCGGCTCAGCCGATCTAACATCTAGGCTCAGCCGAGCCATTGCATATGCGTTCGGCTCGACTGAGCCGCTCAGCCACGTTCGGGAGCTGTACGGGCTATTGTGAATAGCCCGTACAGCACCCCTTGGGTTCTACTGAATCGAAGGGGTCCGGGGGGCGAAGCTAGCCGAAGGATCGGCCGAAGCTACGGCTAGATCCTTCGGCAGCTTCGTGAATAGACCCCTAAGTGTTCCTTTGAAAAAATGGCCATATAGTGCACAACCAATACGTGCAATTCTAATGGATATAAAACAAGTGCCGCAAAGCTCAGTGCACCTACTTGAAATCATATTTCCTGTAAGAAATAAAATTCCTCTATGTTCTCCTATCAAGACCCCCCAAGAAGAGTTGATAAAATATTTCAGGGGGTTTTTAATTTTTCTTTGTCACCCAAATATTGAACTATTAGAAAATCAATTTAGAGATTCATGTGGATTTATAACAGTAAATGCTTTCTTTTAAATACACTTCCAAAGGAATGTAATACTTTTAAGATAAAATGTTTCAAAATGCTAATCATATGCAAACCATGAACAAAACATTACAAAAAAATTCACTTCAAAGCTTTTTTCTTCCATTAGCATCAAAAGTAATTAGCATGTTTTTAGGAATAAGATGTGCATATATTTATGCTTTAGTTAAATGTATTAAATATTTCCACTTGTTTGTTGCCCTGGTTGATCTCTGCCTAGGAAATGTATTGACTTACTCACTTGGCTTAGTTGCTTACTCATATACTAATCATTTTTTTCTACTTCTAATACACTGTCATTAAATATTAACATCAGCGTTCATTAATTTTAACATTTCTTTAAACTGTAGATTCTGTCTTAGAAACTTCATTGTTTAATTTGATCTCAATGAGTTGATTCTGCTGTGTAATTTTCCTATTTAATTAAAACAATTGTGCCACTTATGTATTTCTAAGATGTGCCCAGATGCACTTAACCTAATATGCACAGTTGCTTAATTCTTTTATAAAAGATGTTCTTCCTTAAATGTACATTCAAGCATTAGACCTACAGATGTTCTTCCATGAATGTACATTTGTATATAATACTTCCCCATCCAATGACCATAATGTTTGAATGAAAACCAAGACATCTATAGGATTAAAGCCTGTTTTGGAAACTTGCATCAGATGAAAGCTAAATCAGGTGGATTGGAATGGTTTAGATGAACTCTATCTTAGAAGTGGGAAACAAAATTATATGTAGAAAAAAAATTACAAAATGACCAAATGCTCTCATGTCAATAGCCAGCTTTAGCTGGAGGTGAGAAAACCAATAGGAAAAAAAGGTGATTTATCTTGCCTTACCTGATTTGGTATACCCACTGGCTTAGCACAAATTATGTTATAAGGTTATGACACAACTAATCAGATATATGCACCTTTACAAGCCTTCTATGGCTAAGGAGTCCAGCAAGGATGCAGCAAATCCAGCACACTCCATACAGCAATAGACCATATCCAGGGATGCTATGGTAAAACAATTGATGTGCCATCACAGCAGACATCAAAGATGTCACCAGAACACCATACTGAAAGGTAAAGGTAGGATTTTTTTTATACCGACATTTCCAGGCTGCTGCGGGCCGCTTTGGGTGCGCTTTGCATAAATGCTTTGCCCTCCAATGACAACTTATCACTGCACTAAAACTACCTTACAAAGCATATTTATTTATATATAAAAAATATTGCTCACCCAGTGTTTGGTTCTGTATGTTCAGGTAAATGCTGTTCTATACAATGTAATTTAAAAAAAAAAATGTAAATGTTGACAGCAAACTTATGGCCAAGTAGGATGGTTTACCTTTATTATCAACACCTGATAATTGTTAGTATTGTAATAAGAAAAACAGGAGGCTCAATGCCCTTTAGATACAGAAGGGTTTTAGAAATTATCTCACCAAAAATGAAGGCTATATTTAAAATTGAGGCAGTGATTTGACTTCAAGCTCTGTGAAGACATCCACGAAAAACCATGGGCCAAATTTAAGAGAAGGAAATTAGATTTTTTTCCATGCATTTTGGATGCAAACAAGGCACAGAACACCCCAAGTTGCCATGTTGCAAGGCAGTGACATTTACATTTTTAATCAGGTTATAAAAAAACACCAGCTACAAACTGATATAGAAGAGTGATCATTTTGAATACCGTTATATAACAAAAGGCTTGTTTATCAATGATATAAGCTTAATAATTTTTTGTGCATGCAGAGTTTTCTGGGTGTTTTATACTAGGTATACTGAATATGATAATGTGGCTTATAGAACGTAAAACGTGTTTACTGCTTTGCTGTACTGGTTGGTACTTGCGCTTTGTTTTTAAAGGACAACTTCACTTTTGGTGAAGCTGTATTTAAATTACCCTCATCCCATGAGTCCAGCCCACTCAATGATTGACTACTGGATTGGTGCTAAAGGTAGGTATCTGTGCAATTCATTCTCATGGATAGGCATACTCATAGTGACCTCCAGCAGTCCAGTGCAGTAATGGTATCCTATATGAATAAATGAGGGTACAACATGCATGTGCATTGTGAAGAACTGGCTAGAGGTTTTCTTTTCAAAGCTGTGTGACACTGGGCCTGCTTTGCAGGGCCACACAGCAAACATTGCTGGAGTTTGCTGTGGATAAGTATATTACTATGAGGCCTACACCATAGGTAAAAATGTTGTTTGAACTTTATAGAACTTATAACTGAACTCTGCAGCAAACCAAAGAATTGTCTATTCACAACCCATCAGGGTCCCTGCACATCATCATAAACCCCAACTCCCTCCCACATTATTGTGCATGCACCTCTTCTTTTTGGTTTACGCCACTGCGTAAAGCAGGGGTCTCAAACCTGCGGCCCTCCAGCTGTGGTGGAACTACAGATCCCATGAGGCATTGCAAGATTCTCACAGCCACAGACATAACTCCCGAAGAGAGATGCATCATGGGATTTGTAGTTTCACCACAGCTGGATGGCCGGAGGTTTGAGACCCCTGGCGTAAAGGCTTTAACTTCATGCTCACTGTGTTAGGATACATAACAACTAAGCTAGCTCCTTCTGCAGTTAAAATCACAATATAAAATGTAAGTTGTTTTTATAGTGTTTGAAAAAATGCAATTCCAGTTGCAACACCAGCCGTACAGTGCTGTTTGTACAAAACACTTCTGTTGTGTATGCCTAAAAGAAAAATAATGGATACAGGATATGAGGAAAACATGTGGAATATATTATCAAGCAGGGCAAGTTCATTTAAATTGGTTAATAATGCTGTCTTCCACGGTGCCCATTATAAACGCTAATGTACTAGGGATTAAGAAATACATTATGCTTTATCAGTGGATGCACTGCACAAAGTACTTAATCCAGTGTTAAATCCTCATTGTCAATCTACTGTCTGTATACAAACAGTAATTCTTTGCTTAATTCTTTCCCCTCCCCATATAACTAATTATGTCTGACAATTCTTAGCTACAAAGAAAATATGAACATAGAAAGACACTCAGACGGCATTACATGGCTTTATTTATTTCTTATTTTCTTCAAAATTAACTGTTTTGATATTTCAACATTTGCAAGAGCCAAATGCACAAGCATATTACATAATTTATTAGATACAATTCTGAAAGGCAACTTTAATTTGAAAATGGTTTGTGTGAACATTTGTAATTAAAAATCACTATCTCTTATTTTATCATTTCCATAACATGACTAGATTTCAAATAATGTATCATAATAACACAGTAAGTCATCAGTGGTATAAGTAATATTTGTCTCATTGTTGAACTAATCACCTCAGCACACTGGATTTACAGATAAGGGAAGGCCCCTCTTTGGTTCATAAGGTGTTGTCCTAGCAACCATCGTGATGCAGTCGATAATAGGGCATACACTGTAGCACAGAGTACAACCAGTACAGCTGTCATTGACAGTGGGAAGGTGGGTCACAGGATCAAACTCGATAGCCTGTAAATAGAAATAAATGGTTTGGATGTCACTTTAATGAAGGTCAACAGTGCCCCAGATTAAGAGTCAACATTTTCTTTGCAAAGCCTGTTGGAGACCTATGCACAAATCAACAATGTTGCCATGACAACAATCCATGGTGGAAGAAAAAAATAAAACACTTAAAGAGAAACATTACTGTTCTACATATTATAACTAGTAAAAAATGTGCATTATAGTATTGCAGCTATAAATTAGAATGCACTACAGAAGTTTGCTTAGTATTAAGAAGGATGGTGAACAGGAATATCAGCTTCCATGCTCACTGTACTGCTTTCCCATTATGTTTACCAGCAGTAGTGATGGACAAATTTCCCCAGGTTTGATTTGCCAAGGGTTTGGCAAATCTTGTTTGAAATTCGGCAAACCCGTTGAGTTCTAGGGGGGGGAAATCTTACTTTTAAACTCTGGTCATTTTTAGGGCTAAGAGGTGAACTACTGTAAAAAAAGAAAGGCAAAGGTATGTGGGCACTGCCATAGGGGACAGGTACCAATGCAAGTACCATACAGCGGGAAAGGGTATTTTTATGAAGTTTCAATGGCAAAATCAAAAATAGATCAATCCTTCAAATGCCTTTGCCTTAAAGCTGTGTGTGGTGTTACAGGACAGTAGGATTTTAATGGACAGTGCATTATTGGCTGTGGTATGGTTTTTATTTCTACATACAGCAATAGCACCAATTGTGATCAATTGAAGGCTTTTGTTCAGGTAGCTTTAGCAAGAATGCACACTTTTTCAAGTGGTAATAGGAATGATGAATCTGCACAAGAAAGCTCACACAAGATATGAAAAAAAAACTAAACTATTAACACCTGAATTAAAAGTCAATTTTTAAGGGAAGCCTTTGCTATGGTCAGTACAGCAGTACAGCAGACCTCAAATCAACCACAAAATAAATGAAAGACAAAAAGCCCACAATAATAAAAGCAAAAAAGGAGCAAAGGGATTGATTACCCAAAGAGTTACAATTAAAGTACAGTTTCTAAACTGACCCCAATCTCTCCCTAGCTTTTAATTCACAACAGCTTGAAATCCACTGACACTATGGGTACTAAGTGCCTCCCCTTTTATAGCAAGGGTGCTGGCTTATCCAAAATCCCCTTTATTGGCCCAGTTAAGGCTGCTGGGCATAGTTCAAAGGCTATACAATGCATTGGTTTAAAAAAAATCTCCCTGACTTATCTGCACCAACTTTCTTGAGGGCAATTATCAAACCCGCAGGATTTACCTCAAACCCATGGTAATGGCAAGCCAGAACCTCATCCATAACCAGTAGTGTTGCTCAAAGTGTATTACATATTGGTATATACTGGAAGGGGCTACAAATAATTCACAACACACCTGGACCCTAAATAAATACAGTATAGAGTTTAACATTTCTGCCTTGTCATACAAATGCATATTTGTGACACTTGGTCAATTTGGTGGGAACCTATACAGCTATGGGTTGGTGTTCTTGGTTGTGGGAGGGAAGATACCCAGAAAATAAATATATTTAAACCTCAGGGGGAATGCACACACCATATTTTTATGGGTAAGATGTACATTGCTAAAATTATCTCTGTTTATACCTACTGTGTGCACAACATTACTGTCCAAGGAATTGAAGAAGAGGCATTGTCACATGATTAATTCAACCAACTTTGCATTGTTCAAAGCCCACTTTTTGAGCAAGACAATTGGATGTAATTCACTTAGCACTTTTCTCCCTTGACAGTAATGATGCTTTACAGTTTATTAGTTCAAATATAGTGGAGAGGTGATGCTATCTCATAGGAAGCTGAGGAAGTTTTAACCCTTTTGCTGCCAAGAGCTTTTCTGCATTTTTTGCACACGTTATAATTCACATTTTAGGCCTAAAAATTACTTAAAACCCCCAAAACATTATATATATATTCTAAAAGCAAAGACGCTGTAAAATAAAATTTTGCAGTTACAAATATTCACGTTGCAAGATATTAACGCAACTCTAAATCAAGTCCAAAAATGTTGTAAAAAATACACTTAAGTTAATGTTAATGTCCAATATAATACCCATTTTTTTGGAAAGTAGAAAAGATGTAGTTACGACAAATAAATAGATACCTAACATGCCCAGGTTAAAAACTGCATGCGTCTGTGAAACAGCAACAAAATGTGATACCCCAAATTGTCCATAGGTGATGCTTTAAAAGCCTGTACAGGTAATCAGCTTAGAGATATCCATGAATATTGGCCCTAGAATTATTGTTCTCACGTGGTATTACCGAACATGTGTAGCGTGATTGTTGTTTTCGTACATAGGTGCACCTGACACGTGTTTACAGTAATAGGCACACACATGCTGGGCACTTTTTAAAAATTTTTTTTTAACTTTACTTTATTGCTATCACATAGGGGGCTCACAATCAAGTGCTAGTGCATCGTGATGAAACATAATAATAAGCCACTTGTTTAGTCAAGTCATAATAACAAATCATGCTATATGAGGGTTTTAGTACTGTGTCAGTAAAATGCTTATGTCAGAAACTGTATCTGAACCCAGGGCCTCTGCTGTAGCTGGCAGTGGTTCTACCTGCTAAGCCACCTTAGAACCTTGGATAGCTTCTTGCCTGATCTCCTGTGTTATCCTCAGTTAAACCTAGATTCTGCTGAACTCCTTGCTCATCCCTTGAACCCCTTATTTAAGCCATGCCTCTGCACTTCCTGTTTGCCAGATTATTGTGCTCCTGCCAATATCTTGCTTCCTTGCTTCTTCTATGATACAATCCACTCATACTGCTACCTGGGTACCGACCTTTGCCTGCTGTTTCAGCTACTGGACTCCGAGCCTGATCCAGATCGTGACAGTTTAGCTCATATCAAACTTTGACATTGATTTTATCATCTGGAACAATTTTTTATACCTGGTAACCAGAGTCGTTGCAGGTCATGTAGCATTTTCCACAATTAATACACATTTCCTCATCAATAAGAGCAACAACTTGTTCCCTTATGTTCAGTTCACCATATGATCCAATGTACTGCAGTGCTCTGCCAATTACATCCTAGAAAAACAAAATACAATACAGAATTAATTTGCTTTACTTTGCTTCATATTAACATATGCTTTGTTCACATGTTCTGTCTGCTCAGATTTGCTAAGGGTAAAGCTGGTTACACACAGTTATACTTTTTAAAATATGACAGATTCCTCCATCCATGCAAAACAGCGACGTTCCAACATGTTTATTTAGCAAAAGTCAGTCTTATGATTGCCTTTTGTTAAGAACATAGAGTAACCAACAGATCGCATTTCAGTTGATTTCTGCTGAAGCTAAATTTGCTCCATCTGTACCCAGCATTAGTCATTTACACTGTTATAATTTACTACCTTTCATCCCACTTTTAAATTTTTTTTTTACTTTGCCTTATCTTTGGACCGGTTGCTATACAGTATATGAGGGTAGCTTTTATGACTGCAGTACAGGCTGCTGGACATCATGCTAAATTTCTAGCCACATTTTAGGTCTGAAGATTACTTAAACTCCCCCAGAATTATATATTTTCTGGGAAAAAAGACTTTGCAAAATAAAATGGTGACATGTTGCAATGGTTGCAATTTTTTTATGTAACAGAATATTAGCACAATTTTAAATTAATTTTTGTGTAAATAAACACAATAAAATACCCATTGTGTGGTAAAATATAAAAGTTGAGGCTACACTGAGTAAAAAGATACCAAACATGTCAAGCTCGACAATTGCATGTGCCTGTGAAATGGCAAAATGCTATGATACCCAATGAGCAATCACATTAGTAGTGACAGGTTCTCTTTAAAGAGACATTAGGGTCTCCTAATGGCACTTCTGTACTCCAATGAAGCTGATCAAGCACAAAAACTGTAGGTATTGAAATCCTCATCACTGGCAGATTCACACACCAGCAGTGGGATCAGCAAATCGATGTTCACTTGTCTCCCACTGCTCTAGCTGCTAATATCTGCCATGGCTATCCTGGGCCTGCAGGAGGAGCAGCAGAGGTGTGTGGGGGGGTGGCATCTGTTACCCTTAGGCAGACTGTAAAAGTGATTGGTTGGCTTTACAGCTGCCTGAATCACTTCCACTGTAAAGCCTACAGTTGGCTTTACACATGTAAGTAAAGAACAGCAAAAGGGTTAAAAGGGATGTTTTTTTATG